TTCGCAGACAGATGTTATCTAAGAAACTCCCCGAACCCTCATCTTTGCAATATCTTCCTTATAGGAATTACAATTATTCTTTGGTAAGTAAAAGGCATACAAGCAAAATTCACTGTAAAATAATTTTCCAAATCTATGAAATATTTGCTCAAAGTGATGCATATGAATTAACAATGAGCTTTGTCAAAACTGATATAGAAGCGGGGGGGGGGAAGGAAGCAAGCATAAGTCACTACCTTCCATTGCTTTTGATGCTTTTAAACCTAGGGAGGTAGGTAAGTTTTGTAGTTTACCCAAAAAATATTTCCTACCAAGGCATGCAGTTGCCTTCTCTCCTAAATGCAGATTTCTGATAGAGTAGAGCCTGAGTTCAGCTGAATAAAAATAGTACCTTGAGCTCAAGATAAATGGAAATTCATTTAAAATTAATTTAACAGTATTAAATTAATTTTATTTAATAGTGTTTAAGACTTAATAAGATTCAATAGGTCTGCCAAATACTAGACTTTAACAGTTGTTAGCTGTTGATAGCTGTAGCTGTAACTTTTTGAGGTGGCAATTGGTTGCTTTATGGGTAAGATTGTGGGTTTGTTTGCTAAGATACCTTGTTGTAGTCATGCGCATAGTATGTAGGATGCTGTACTGTATCACTGTACATGTAACCTTAATGATACCTTTCCTATTATTTTTGTAAGGTTATGGGAGCTTGCTGTGAAAACGTGATTGGATATATGCCTATTCCTGTAGGCGTAGCAGGGCCGCTAGTTTTGGATAACAGAGAGTTTCACATTCCAATGGCAACAACAGAAGGATGTCTTGTAGCAAGCACAAACAGAGGATGTAGAGCAATATGTGTAAGTATTGTTTGACTAGCTTGAAAAAATGTCTATATTATAAAACATATTTGGGGATAATACAAGGTGTGGGGGTTTTTACTTCCTAAAAACTAAGCTTTACTTTCAGTAATCTTACTTTGTTTCCCTTCTTCTGTTTGATTTTTAGCTTGGTGGAGGAGCAAGTAGCCGCATTCTGGCAGATGGGATGACTCGAGGACCTGTTGTAAGGCTACCCACTGCTTGCCAGGCTGCAGAAGTGAAAGTTTGGCTTGAAAGCCCTGAAGGCTTTAAAATAATGAAGGAAGCTTTTGACAGCACAAGTAGGTTCGTACGATGTCTATTTCAGCCTTATTTCCTGATATAAGACTTCTGTGGATGGTAGAAAGCTCCTAATTGTATTACTGCATACTGCAGTACAGTACAGTACTGAGTACTGCAGTACTCATTTGAACTATCCCATGTAGTGTGAATCTAAGAAAACAAAAGTCACTCTGGCTATATATATATACACCAAGGCTAGTAATAAACATTTTCCAATGATAAGTGGTAAACAACTGGACCATAGCAACAAATACATTTCCATTGCATAATACATAATACATAATTTTGTATAAGCATTTAAACATAAACATAAAAGCTTATTTGGATTTTTAGTAGTTATTATGCAAAAATTAATTATTTACATTAGTAATTTAATCTGTAAGGCTAGATTCCAAACTTTGAATTAATTTGTGAGATTCCAGAGAATATGGGATAAACTAATGCTAGAACTGAAATGCTTAAAAAAATGTATAGTATTAAGAGTAAGTTTATTCAAGCCCTAGAGTTTGTTCTAAGACTTATGATTACCTGCTTTCTTTAGGAAGATTTGGAAAGAGATTTTCTTATCAGTTATGTTTCTTACCAGTCTTAAAAGTATCACCCAAGGACATATGTATATTTTGGCAAGAATCAACTCATGCTACTGTTTAAATGTATTGTTTCCCGATTTTTATTTGACTCTTATTCTGCATGAAATAAAGCTTTGACTTGTGGAGCTTGCACTATTGTTGAAGATAGCATGGGTTTTGCCTTGCTGTAAAACTGACATAAGAATATCCAAAGGCCTCATTTTTAGTTTTTACCTGGTAGTCAGATGTTTTAGGGAATACAAAGGAGTTAAATTTATGTTAGCATTTTGGGATAAATTATTTCATGAAGTCCTGGGATAGAAAACAAAAAGGGAGTGAACACTTTAAAGTATTTACTTGAGAGAACTATGTGCATAATAGCTGTGATTTTTTTTCTGGTGCTGAGGGAGGAGTACAGATAGCACAGTGTACTTAACAGCGCTATCAGCAATTATTTACTGTCATTTTCCCACTTAAAACTAATTTAATCTTTTTCCTTGAGGATTGTAAGTATTGAAATTTTCTTGCAGGTTTGCCCGTCTACAAAAACTTATCATCAGTTTGGCTGGTCGTAACCTTTATATCCGTTTTCAGTCTGGAACAGGGGATGCAATGGGAATGAATATGATTTCAAAAGTAAGGTCCAGTCCCCTTAAGTCTCTCTAATAAACATGTATTTCTTTTAAAAATAAATAAATTGTATCCTATCAATCTGATTACCTGGCATATGAAGACAGAAATATAAGACATAGCACTGTTTGCAATACTGTAAAATAATAAAAGTATTTGACCTTGTCAAGTGTAAACAAGAATAGGATGAGAACAATGACAGAAAGAAGGTTAAAGTAACTGTATTTTTTAATTTTTTTTAAACAAAGTATTCTTGATAATATGGAAGTTAAGCTGTTTGCTCTGTTGCTTTGGGCCAAAGATTTTTATCCATCAGTAATTAACCTGTTACTGTGTTTATCACTCCTTGTAAATAATAGTTTAGAAATCTGGTGAGTGGCAGCAGGGGGTGTTCTCTAGTTTTGTTTCTTTGATTGTTTTGGGGTTTTATGCAAACATGTGGAAGAACCTGAGATTGGGGGGTGCCTTGTGGTGTTTGACATAAACTTTAATACTGATTGCCTATTGAGGTATACAGAGAAATTGTCAGAGCAGCCAGTGATCAGGTTAGAAAAGCTAAAGCCCTCATAGAATTAAATCTGGCCAGGGATGTCAAGGGCAACAAGAAAAGCATCTATATGTATGTTGGTGATAAAAGGAAAACTACGGAAAATGTGGGCCCTCTCCAGAAGGAAATGGGAGACCTGGTTACCCGGGATATGGAGAAGACTGAGGTACTCAAAGACTTTTTTGCCTCAGTCTTCACCGGCAAGTGCTCAAGCTGCGCTGCCCAAGTCGCAGAGGGCAAAGGCAGGGACTGGGAGAATGAAGAACTGCCCACTGTAGGAGAAGATCAGGTTCGAGACCATCTAAGGAACTTGAAGGTGCACAAGTCCATGGGACCTGATGAGATGCATCTGTAGGTCCTGAGGGAACTGGCAGATGAAGTTGCTAAGCCACTATCTGTCATATTTGAAAGGTCATGGCAGTCTGGTGAAGTTCCCACTGACTGGAAAATAGAAAACATAACCCCCAGTTTTAAAAAGTAAAAAAAGGAAGACCTGGGGAACTACAGGCCAGTCAGTCTCACCTCTGTGATCTGAAAAGGTCCTCCTGGTAACTATGCTAAGGCATATGGAAAACAGAGAGGTGATTGGTGACAGCCAACATGGCTTCACTAAGGGCAAATCATGACTGACAAATTTGGTGGCCTTCTATGATGGGGTTACAGCATTGAAGAAGAAGAAGAAGGGAAGAGCAACTGATGTCATCTACTTGGACTTGTGCAAAGCATTTGACACTGTCCTGCACGACATCTTTGTCTCCAAATTGGAGAGACATGGATTTGGCAGATGGACCACTCTGTGGATAAGGAATTGGCTGGCCACACTCAAAGAGTTGTGGTCAACGGCTTGATGTTCAAGTGGAGACCAGTGACAAGTGACATTCCCCAGAGGTCGGTATTGGGATCAGTGCTGTTCAAAATCTTTGTTGGCAACACGGACAGTGGGATTGAGTGCACCCTCAGCAAGTTTGCCAACAGTACTAAACTGTGTGGTGTGGTCAGCATGCTGAAGGGAAGGGATGCCATCCACAGGGACCTGGACAGGCGGGCCCATGCCAACCTCATGAAGTTCAACGAAGTCAAGTGCAAGGTCCTGCATTTGGGTCAGGGCATTTCCAAGCACAAATACAGGCTGGGCAGAGAATGATAAGCACATGCCTGTTTAACTAGTATGTATCCAGAAAGTCCATATACACTGGGAAGAAACAATTATTCCCCATATAATTTCCAAAGTGGTTAGAAAAAGGATACTGATAGATTTTCTTTTCTTTTTTTTTTCTCTTTTTCTTCTATTTCAGGTTCCTTTCTGAAATCATGTTCTCCTCTTCAGCTGTAACTGATGAGCTGATTAGACTTAATCTAATCTTGCTGTTCCACTGTCCTTGAGTAGCTTGTTTTACAACCATAATGATATACTACTCCTATATCTGTTTCTTTTTTAACAGGGTACTGAAAAAGCACTGACAAGGTTGAATGAAGAGTTTCCTGATCTACAGGTTATAGCTATTAGTGGTAACTATTGCACAGACAAAAAACCTGCTGCTATAAATTGGATAGAAGGAAGAGGGAAGTCTGTTGTCTGTGAAGCAGTCATTCCAGCCAAGGTTGTTACAGAAGTGAGTGTCTCCTTTATTTTATTTAATTTGTTCATAAAAATGCATACATTTTACAAAACTGATACAGTTAATCTCTGTGATGTAAAATATGTAAGTTGTATTTCATGTAAGGACAATCCCTATGTGTATATTTAAACTACTGCTGTAGGATAAGTAATTTTTCCTGAGAATCTCTTACAGTAGATATTTTTTCCCTTTCCCTGTCTCTTCTAATAAAACATGCTATATATTTAATGATCACAGAATCACAGAATGTTAGAAGTTGGAAAGGACCTCAAAAGCTCATCCAGTCCAACCCCCCTGCCAGAGCAGGTCACACAGGAATGCGTCCAGGCGGGTTTTGAATGTCTCCAGAGAAGGAGACTCCACAACCTCTCTGGGCAGCCTGGTCCAGTGCTGACAGACCCTCACAGTGACAAAGTTTTTCCATATGTTCACATGGAACTTCCTATGCTCCAGCTTGTTCCCCTTGTCCTGTCATTTGACATCAGAGAGAAGAGCCTGGCTCCTTCCTCCTGACACTCGCCGTTTATAAATTTATAAACATTAATGAGGTCACCCCTCAGTCTCCTCTGCTCCAAGCTAAAGAGACCCATCTCTCTCAGCTGCTCCTCATCAGGAGATGCTTCACTCCCTCCATCATCTTTGTGGCTCTGTGCTGGACACTTTCAAGCAGTTCCTGTCCTTCTTGAACTGAGGGGCCCAGAACTGGACACAATATTCCAGATGTGGTCTCACCAGGGCAGAGTAGAAGGGGAGGAGAATCTCCCTTGACCTACTGGCAACACTTCTTAATGCACCATTGGCCTTCTTGGCCACAAGGGCAC